TCCATTCCGAACCCTGAGACAGCCACACCTCAAGATCAGAGTGTTTAAGAAGCTCTTCAAAGAAGGTATCCTTTATGTTTTCATCCCAATGCCCCAGCATGGAATCTCTACATACAGAAAGTGGGGACAGACTTATAATCTAGATTGACATTGGTTAGTGATAGAGAAGAAAAAGGTATACTTCAGTGTTGCTGTTGGCATAAAATCTGAAAGATCAGGCCATCAAGCAAGGCCTTTAAATAACGTTCCTTACCTAATTTCTCCCTATCTGATAAAGCCCTTACTTTTCAGCTGAGTTGATCACATCCATTTTCCCCTTCATGAATGCTCTTGCTGATCCCTCCATCTGGAAGGGCAGGGAGGGAAGAATAATGCATGTCCATTAATTCCTTTGAGACCAAGCTGTCTTACTTTATGTTTCATCAGTAAGAAAACAAGTTATTTCTAGAATCCTATACTACCATACACTTATGTTCTTTTGCTTATTCATAGAGAGTATTCATCTCTCCACAATTAAACTTTATATACATTGTATTGAGTAGGCACTGAATAAATACCTATCTATTTTGAGTGCAGCAGGAAAAAAAAAAAAGCTTCAGGCTCCTCCTACCTTTGTGCTAGACCATTCCCAAAGCTCTTCCTTCTCTTTCTTTCCTGTTTGGAATCCCTTATTTTCAAGCCTAATGTTAGGGCCAATTCTGGGCAGAAAAAGACAACACAGTTTGTACTTTGGGTTTCATATTTTTTTCAGTTCATTTCAGTAAAAACATAATATAAAAGGCATTGCCACCCTCTTCCCCTCCTGGGGGTGATCCATCAAGCCTGTCAGTCTGGGCCGCTCCAATGGTTCATAGCTCATCATGCGATATATGCAGGGCATGGTCACATAGATCTGCAAACAGCACATAACAATTTGAAAGATAATGCCACTCTCATACTGATGTATGCCACTATCAAGAAAATACCCGAAATCAAACTGATACACATACCAACCACCATTTTTCAGAGCATATGCTTTTAAATGACAAAACATTCCCATTATCCTCTCACCTGTATTTCAGGTAAGGGAGCCACAAATTCTGAAAGCTGACAGGAAGAGAATGGAGAGGAACAACCCAAGTCCCAATAACATAGGAAGGAGGCAAGAGAATTAAAATGTTAATCAATCTACATTCAGTGACTGCAATATGCTGGTCAGCCCTGCATCCAGGCCAGGATGACCCTTTCAAAACAAAGATTTCTACTGGGATTGCTAACAACCCATTCTCCACACCTGTGAAGGGGAAATGGGAACCAACAGTCATTCCCTATGGCTAAAACCATGGATTAAAGGCTGGGAACTGCCAGCAGGCCTTTCACTACACATTCTTACCTTGTCACACTACATACTCTTCCCCTTCCTCACTGTACGTCCATATCAAAGAAAATGGAAACTAAAGAATGACATATAAACTGAATTCTCTGAACCCTCACTTCTCCCCCCCACTGCCTTTCCATGTCTCCCTTAGTCTCTCTCACTCTCTGCCTCTGAGAAGAGACCACACTCTATCTGTGGAGTGTTATCTCTTTTCTAATAAACTTTCCTTTTAACTTTAACTTTGGCGTGTGTGTTGAATTCTTTCTACACTCTCCACCAAAGGACCCTCTTCTCTTGGTACAGGGCTTGGTCTCCCCCTCACCTGGGGAAGATTTGCCCTGTCCTGCATCACCTAAGCCATTGGTAATGGAAGCCAACTCTTGAGCTAATATCAAGAGGACTGATAGGGGGAAGCACACTAAGGAATGTGCCCATTTCCACAGGGCTGTGAGGACAGAAGGTAAAGTAGGACCACCTTACCTGTTCGCTTACTACAAAGTTTGTCTTTAACATTGTCAGCCTCTCGGGAAAAGAATTCAATGAGTTCATCCTCATATTCTTCCACAATGCTCTCACACTGCCAACCCAAGAGAGAAACGAGTGAGAGAGGGCAGCAAGAAGAGGCCTTTTACTTTCGTCTCCAGAGAGGAGTACAAGGATATTGGCCCAGCTTTCCACCTGGGCTCTTCAATAACTCCCCTAATTTTTAAGATCCAACTACCCACTCCCATAGCTCACCGCAAACTTGAGGGTGCCACTGATGTCTGAATCAATTCGGATGCCCTGTAGGTCCAGTTCATTGGATTCTCCATTCCGGCTCACTACACGTATGTAGTTCTTGCGGTGGGTGGAAGGGTCAATCTGTTCCCCATACTCCTTCATCCGGTCACATACCTCTTCTAGTAGCTCTGTGAGGTGGGCCTCTGAGCGAGCATAAGGCACCTAGAAATGTTCTCAGCCTTGGGTCACACTCTTCTACTTCTGTACATCAGTAATTTACATCCTTATTTTTCCTTCCAAATCTAACTCAACCGACCTATTCTAAAAAGTCTGCCCTATTTAAAAACAGTATGATTTATTTGTATAATTCTAGAGTGTTTTCAAATATATAGTCTTATTTCACCTCAGTAACAATCCTAAGAAATAAAAAAGGTGTCATTAGGTCCAAATTATAAACAGAAACCTCTGATTAACTCTAGTCGACTATGTTCTTTTCCTTTGAAATCCCTTAGTTCTTATGGATGTAAGGTAATTTTATTGTTTTGTACTGAGACTAAAACCTGCCCTCAAAAGGAGAGCATTACAAAGGTAGGGTAGGCTTTGAGGATAACAACTATTAAATCATTTCACAAGCATTACAACCTTAACATTTATTGTTCACTAGGTACAGCTTTGTTATGTGTTGTTTTCTACTGAAATAAGTTTCCTAAGTACAAGGATAAGACTTATTTTTTTGAGTGAATGTTTGTGTATATACCATACTGCCAGAGTAAAAACATGAGTCACATGGCTTAAGGATGTGGAGAAGTGAGCTGATCAGGGGTCCCTGTCTGCTAACAACTTCTACAGCAGAAACAAATTATTAAGGTTTGGTGCCAGGAAGCAAGTGCGTAGGTTATAAACCTCCAGCCTCTTCCACATGAAACAGCCCTATCTTTTAGATACCTCTCTGGATCAATGTTTTTATTTCTATTAAACCAAACTCCTTAATGAGATGAGTTCTCATTCAAAGTTAGAGTGAGCTACTTTATTTGGGGAAACAGTAAGTTACCTCCACTACTGACTGGCTGCCATCTGGATTGATTCGGAAAGAGCCCATCTGAATGGTCTTCTTGGGATCCACCTGGGCAATTTCCCACTCTAGTTCATCCACCAGAGCTCTGCAAGCTGGTGCAGGGGAGAGAAGGTGGGGGAGGGGGAAAGGGAGAAAGGAATCACCCAGTTTCCATTCATTCTTACCCAGGCTTTGGATCTCATGTCCTCCCAAGGCTCTGTCTTCCCCACCCTCCTTCCTCCCACTTCTCTTTGTGTCTTTACCTCCACAGTGTAGATCCTGGCTCCTCCGAGCCCAGGCAGTTCCCAGCAGGACCCCCAGAAACAGGGCCAGCCAACCCCAGCCTTTCATCTTTAACGTAATGGGGTTGCTCCACCTGGATTTGGATTGGAATAAAGCATAAGTTTGAGGAGACAGGTCCATTCCCCCAACCCGTCCATCTTCCCAAAGGCTTCAGTGTGACTCTGGTTCTACTCTCCAGGAAATGGCCGGGACAAAAAGAGGCTCCTCTGTTCCCACCCTTGAGGACCAGGATTCCCCCAGGCGGTGAGAGCGCGAGCTCGGGACTTGGGGCTCGGTCCCAGACACTACGACAGGTGAGACTCTAGATGTTGGTACTTCAGCGTAGCTTGCCTAGAACTCACGGGGATGTGGCAGCTACGGAACGGAGGTTGACGATAAAGCGAGGACGAAAGGCACAGACAGAGGAGCTGCCGAAAGGAGAGCAGCTTATTCAGGCCAGGAGTCAGCGAAGTGGCTGGCCCACGAGGAGCACACTCAATAGCTAGAGCCTATTTGGACCCAGCACCGAAGATTTCTGCATCCCCACCTCTAGCCTATAAGCTATTTCCCGTGCAGACCAGCCCCCTTTCTAAGGACCCCGCCATTGTCTTCCATCCAGTCCATCCCCGATCTTCAGCAACACTCGCATTCATCCCACCTCTGCTCCCAGGGCCGCCGCCGTGGCCCAGGCTCTGGAAGACGGTGGGACTCTCACTTTAGCTCTCGACCCTAGCACCTGGCTGTGGGGGAGCGGGGCTGTCCAGCCCTCTCCAGAGCGCTCCGGCGCTTTTCCGACCCGGGATGCCCTGGCGACCGCCTGACTCGGCTCCCCGCACTCTAAGTGGGCACCTAAGCAGGGCCCCCAGTGCGCTGCGGTACGAGCCCCACACTAGGAATGACCCTAAACCCGCCCCTCTAAATTCTCGCGCGAACAGGCAGCTTAGGAGCGGCTCCCAGGCAGCGAGGACCCCGGTGGATCGCAGAAGGACCCAGACTTGCGTGGCGAGCAGCTCCACGTGATCGTCAGGGGCCTGCTGAAGAATAGGAGTGGCCTGAAGCTAGGACGGATCCTGGCGTGGTGTATGGAGGCGGTCAGGCGCGGGTGTGTATCAGTCCAGGTAGACTAGGACCTTCAAAAATAAAGGTACGCTGCTTGCTACTAAGAAGCCCTCGTTTCAATACTCATGAAACTACATCTCCCAGGAAGCACTGCAACACCGCACAGATACTGTTAGTAGCTACAACTCTTAAGCTATCCTGGGACCTGTAGTTTGTTAGCTTCCCCACTCAGAGAAACCATACTGTACGTCTTAGAAGAATCTGACCTGAGGATACTAGGCAGGCACAGCAAAGACATGACTTTGCCTAGGAAAGACATAATTATACTCCTCCAATATCCTTAGCTTTCGACTCCACAGAACTTTACCTTCATTTCTATCTGGGCATTTGAAAGCCTTAGGTTTTCTCAGTTGTAATAGAAAGCCAACAACAAAGGAAAGGACTTAAATCAGAGAACCCCACCCCCGCAGGTCTCCAGGGAGATAGATGACAGCCAATAATATTTTTGTTTTTATTTTATAAAACATGCGGTTTAAAACAAACAAAATAAAAAAACAAGAAAACAAAACTTGGGACAGGAGAGTGGAGTGGATGGAAGACAGATGCTTCTCAGCTGTCAGCAGGAGTGTAGCCAGCAGCCAAGCTTCTGGACCCAAAGGCCTTTTTGGCAATGTTAGTCTTGGCAATACTGGTTTGCCGGGGTCACCAAGACTACATGCTGGCTCCTTCTGGCATCCCATGAGCAGTCAGACTTGAACTAGGTCTTAGCTACTGTTGGATCCAGTCACTGTCCAGTACATCAGTCCTTAGCTAAATAGGAATTGAGAGTTTTGGTTCCAGGATCTTCCTTGCCTGGATATTAATCAGCCAGGATGTTTATTAAGAATACCAATTACTTTCCATCTGGGTCAATTCTAGACTCTGTTTCTGGCCCACTGTTTTGCAAAGGATGAGAAAAGAATCTGGCTCCTAGATCCTTTGCAACAATTCTGCTGCATTTCAGTTCTATTAATAGCACCATCTATAAACCCTGAGCAGGTCCAATTCTGGAAGTGGACAGGGTATAGCCAACATGAAAAGCCACATCCCTGTTCTGGGGCCACAGAACACTGAAGGGAGAGGCAGTAGTTCTTTGGGAGAGGGTGAGGTCAGAGCGCCAGCACTGAGGAAAAAACAGCTGCATCTGTCAGAGACAAAACCAAGAGCACTGATAAGTCTTAAGGCGGAGAAAAAGCACCTGGGATACTTCTTATGAAGGAAAAATCCAAGAGAAAAGAGGGCATGGACCTCCCACAAACATTTTAGAACTGGGCAAGAGGAGGTTAAGACCAATATAGAGTTTCAGTAACAAAATCTATTTCACTTTTGGGATAATTAAGTCCTTTACAAATATAAGGTAGGGCTGGTACTGTTGTTAACATCATCTTCATTACTGTGGTATAATCTTACATAGGCGATCAAAACCCACCCAGTCCAGTTTCCCTTGTCCCATCCCAAGCCTTACTCTTGGGACTTGTCTGGCCCTCAGGCTCAGGCACCTTCCAGTCCATCTTTCGGCCCTTCTCATAAAGACCCTTGAGCACTTTATGGAAGGACTCTGGCTCAGTGCCATTTTTGCTTAGCTCTAGATACTTTCGGTAGAGCTGAAGGGCTGTGCGGGCATCCTCAATACTGTCATGGGTCTCCCCTTGAATCTTCAGGTCTGGGGGAAGTAGAGGTGGAATAGTTTGGGACCTAGCAAAGGAAGGTAAGAACGTGTCCCCTATCACATCCCCAACTTCAGATAAACAATAAAAAACCTGACTGC